GGGGGGGGGGGGGGGGGGGTTACTGGGAGCAGTGCTGGTTGTTAAACATAAATGTGCTACTTTACATGTTATATTTTAGTTAGTTTTTATATTTTAATTTTAAATTTATTTTATTCTTCTATTTGTGTTGTGTATTTGTCTTATTATTGTACTGCTGTATGAAGGCAGTCGGGCAAAGTAAGATTTTCATTGTATGTATAAACCACTTTCTTACTGTGCATATGACAATAAACCTTTTTAATCTTGAATCTTGAATCTCTAGTGAACAACTGCAAGAAGGTTGTCTGAAACGAGTGATTTGGATTAATTATGAGTAGATAATTTCCTATTTAGGGAACTTTCTTTATACAGTTCTCTCTCTGTATGATGTAAAATAATTTTTAACTATCATACATACACATACAATAGGCTTTTTTTTTTAACAAATTCAGTCTTTTCTTGTCTTTGGCACTTGGCCATTGTTAGATTAGACATTTTTTTGTATCTTTACATTTACTTACCAAATTAAGATATAGGCCTACTGTGTATATTTTTAAGGTTTTTTTACACGCCTTAAAATCAAGAAGGCCTTGCAATCCCCCATCAAACTTTGACAAGCCCTAGTGTGGTTAGGGGACATAAATAAGAACAGATAAACAGGGAAAAGTAAGAACTAGAAGTATATAGAATAAAAATAATAAAAATAGAAAGGGACATAGAAGCAGTATAGATACAGTACCCAGTACGTGTGTTGTACTTAAAGTAAAGTGTGGTATTGTTTCAAATAAAATGACTTTAGTATATGCAATAGTAATATGATACCATCTATTATAACAACATGGGCTGCACCAGAATAATATATAATATGATGAAGTAATGATAATGATCTGTATTCTACCTTCTTTCATTAAATTTTTTCCCAGTGTATTTTTTAATTATTTTCTTATTTTCTATCTTTGTTTGATGTAAACAATGTTTGTATGCTTAGCATTGAAAGTGCTACAGCTGCATTTAATGGTGCAGACTTCCTGAACCTATAACCTGACATAATTAGTGGTTTAAAATGAATAATTTAAAAAAACTGGCACAAATGAGAGCCAAAGTCGTCTCCATTTTCAAGCTAGTTTTTGTTCTGTCCTGTGTTGAATCCCCTGAGGCTTGCTGGTACCATCCTGTGTGGAGTTTGCATGTTCTTTGTGGGTTTCGTCCAGGGGCTTCGGTTTCCCCCAACAGTTTCTTCCCTTCAAGGCATACTGGTTAGGTTGGGTGAATTAACGACTCCCTTAGGTGTGAATGTGAGTGGGAATTCTGGATGTAATATATTTTAGCCCTGTAAAAGAAAGGCTAGCGCGGTCTTTTCCTTATTGACACAAATTCAGTTTGTAGCCTATTTAATAAAAATTCAACCTTGTTTTCAACCTAGTTATGTTGACTAATTACTTTAATGTAATTCAAGCACCTACAGTTTTACCTGATTGCAGCTAGATGATGTCTACAATGACACCATCTGTGGTGTCAGATAACGTTAAAGATGGCCCAAAAACAAAAAGGCAAGCCCTAGAACCAACAAAGCCATAATATGAACAGATTGAAATCACTTTGCAGATGAAATTGGTATAGGGTAGTGGCTCAAGAATAGTGTGCTAATAAATTATTAATATCCAACCATCCATCAGTGCTGTTTTTTTACCATGTAAGGTACAAGAAGGTCAGTGTTTGTTGCTGATAGAGGCCTGTCAGGAAATGGAAGCAACATAAAGCATGCTGTCAACAGGATCCAGAAGACGTCACTGATGCTTAAAAAATATACAAACTGCCTTCACGAAAATAACTATATGGTGCGAGGAGACGTTCAGTTGAGAGGTTTCATACAGTTTAGATTACTCACGGCCAAAACATATCAGCCAAAATAGTACAAACAATAAAAAAAGAAATAAAAACTGCGATGAGGATATTGATCAGAGTGCGTGTCTCAGTAGCTAATGACTTACATGATTTACAACCCAAGGAAGGAAAGTAGAGATCAGAAAACACACAGCATGGTGGTATACACAGTGGAGCTGTTTACAGTATAGATGATACTACAAGGGAGGAAACAGTCAAAACAAATCATTCAAAGGGCATACATACCAAGTGTAAGTTGGCTCCTGCCTGTGCTGTGCTGAAGGGTAAAAACAGACTGCCTGCTCTGGCAAATCAGTCCAAGATACAAGGAACAGCAGCAGTTTTTGTTAGTCAGAAGCCAAATATGGGAAAAAGCTCGCAGACTGCTTGTTGGAAGAGAGAGCTGGAAGGAAGTGATTTGTACCAAGACACAACAATTGTAGAGGAGGGTTAGAAGTCAAGTGGTTGGACAATGAAAGGGTAAGTGAGTTGATGATGATGAGGATATACAAGAATTTAAATGCCCAAAGTATGATTGTAATTAACATAATGCACCAGGTGTTTTTTATTTAGTTGGTGGCGGTAATGCACAAAAACGCTGTTTGCCAATAAATAAATATATAAATATATATATATAATTGACACACACCCTCCGGTACGGTAGGTGGCGCCATGCACACAGGTTGGCATCACAATCCGCCACAAACAGAAGAAGAGCAGTGGCTGTCATTTATTGCCCCTGCAGCTTTGCCCCACCGAGGTTTGTGGAGGGATGCTGAGAGATTGAGCGCCATTTACCAGGATAGATTGGTGCTATCATGACAATGTAAGGACGGACACGTGTCGGTTGACCACCGCGTCAAGATATGTCTGCAGCGATGTTGAGGTAAAGACACGCGGTTGTCTTGGATACGGTGTAATTATTACCTATTACGTAGAGTCAGTGTTAGCGACCAGCTAGCTGTCTGAGCTAACAGCTAACCACTGTGGGACCACAGAGCGCGTTCATTCCTGTTTAATTAACCACTGACTTAAATTAGATCAGTGTTGGTAACAGGGCGAACACGGCGACGTGAAGGTGATGTGGTTTTCGATAAACGTGCTTTCGTTCAGGTAATGTGAGCTAATCCGAGCTGTTTTTGTAGCTATGGCTAAATCAGAGGTAATAAAGGTGAAGTTCACCTGTCTCAGTGTATACACCCAGACTATAGGCTGACCTGGATAACACGAATGCAGTCTGCAGTCCTGCATTGAGTCCTAACTTTACCCTCTCGAAGCTAATAATGTTTAACTTTATGGTCATTTTTAGGCTGTAGTTCATGTTGCTGATGGATTTGAATTGCGTCATTCTGAGAGGTGTTTCTAATAATTTGTCCACCCCATTTATATTAATCTGGGTACACTGAGAGCTACAAACACATCAGCAGCATCACACACGAGCCCCAAAATGACCATAAAGATGGATCAAAACAAAAATAAACAATGAGCATTGTAATGTTTATTGCAGTCTCATACAACCTTATTAGTTTCTTCCTTTGTGGACATTTTCCAGGAAGAGCTGTGGCACTAGGAGGACAGTCTATGTGAATCTGAAATATACTAAAACAGAGGACTTTATATTCCCTCCCACTTAAACAGTGTTGTGATCCTTTACTCCCATTACCTTGTTCAGTGGATAGTTCTCACATTAGAGGCTGGATCCTCTGAAAGATGCAGTAGGTGGGTGTTTTTAAGGGCTGTTTAAAGACCAGATGGAGCATTTAGGTGTTTCTCAGTTTCTAAGCCAGTTATTTAAAAAGTTCAACAGCAGTAAAGTTGCCCTCAGAAGTCAACAAAGTACCACAACTCACAATACCCAGGTTTACAGTGTGAGTTGGGAAGTTTCATTGTGTATCAGATTAATGATAAACGTAACGTCCATGTTTATGTAGCATGCTATGATAAACATTCAAATATTCAGGCTGCTAGAAAAAAAACAAAAAAACATTGTTGTTGATGTCCGGCTTCTGTTTTTGTCTCCTGTGATTTCGGGCGTTTCATTGGTCTAGTGATATGCTCATGTGATGACTGATAACGATCACTTGAACATAAATATGTGGAAGACTTTGAGTTCACGAGGATTAAAGCTTTGGATACTGAGAGCTTTACAGTTCAGGCTGTGTGCTGCGAGTTGCTTGTCTACATTCGAAGGAGCTTTGAAATGGGACAGTTTTGTCAGACTGTCAACAGGTTTCATTTGTGACTCTTTCTGGAAAGCTGAAACACAACTTTATGAAACCTGATCATTTCTTTCCATATTCCTAATGGGTGTCGACTATTGTGCTGGACAGGTAAAGATGAGATGTAGATGTTGAATTGGATTTGAGTTGATATTTAAAAGACTCACGGACGCAAAACAGTTGATTCCCCCGAATTCACTTTATATTATTAATGTTAACAGAGCTTATTAATCAGGCTTTTAATCAAGACCTTGAATGTTTGTTAAGTTTACTATAACCACTCTTTTGTTTTGTTTTTGTTGAATCTAGCACCCCTACTAACAAGCTCAATGTACTAGTCAACAAACTGCACGAATTCTTGGCCCACTCTACTGTTGAGGACAGCAATGGCACGCCAACGTCAGCGGATGCTGATGGTAGGTTTTAAATTAATCTAGTGATGAGTGATAAATTAAATGTTTTTAATCATGTTTACATGCTTTATTTACATTTGAACTGATCTTCTGTTCACAGGTCTGACAAACAGGAGCTTTTCTGTGGGGAACTCAACAGGTCATGCTGCAGCAGAGGTAACTGAATATTCTTGGTGTTTTCGTCGTTAAGTAACTTTTTAATTGGATCCAGCACACAATTTGGCGTCATTCTGACTTTTTCTTTGAGCTTTTATTATTTTCTTTACTGTCATATTTGGTATTTAGTCACAGCACTTTCAAATAACCATTAAAGCTGGACTAAATCAAAGTGAAGAGCTTTTGTCATAAAATGCCTTAAATGCCTTGAAGTCCCAATGCAAAACTTGCATTAGAAAAGTGAATAATGAATGTCCTTTATGGATGAACTGATGTCTAATTGAATTGCTTTAAGATCTCCTGGTCACTGTTGTATTAAGCGTAGCATAATCTCAGTCTTTTCAGTCTTCCATGGTCTCTTTGAACTACTCAATGATTTGTGTTTCTGGCTCTCTCAACTGTAGAGCCGTACTTCCTGTGCAAGAATTTGTTTTAAAATTTGTTTACAAGACTTGTATCTCCTTGAGTGAAATTGTTTGTATGAACAAAATATTTGCCTCTGAGTGAGAACCCCCTTTGGGAGATTACTGCAGTGGTTTCAACACCAAAAGTGACACTAATTACAACCAGTGACAACTAATGAACTGTCTTGCTTTGTAGGCAGGACTGGACACCAAATACTCAAGGAGGTGAGTTAGCATTTCATTTGTACCCCACACCCAAAAAATAAAGCACCATGGTATGAAACAGTCCAAAATGAATGCAGCTTATTGCTGGAAATAATGTATGTTGAATTAAAGTGAATGCCATGTGTTGCATTTATGATTCACCCTGTATGTGCTTAAACCAAGTGAACGTTTGAAACCGTAGTCATGATAATCAGAGGGAATAACAATGGTAATTTTACACTGCTGTTAGCTTATGCTTGGTTGACACTTTTAAAAATATTTGTAACCTCCTGCCGTCTTTTTTCACTGTCTAATTGTCACTAAGCTATCTGACTTACATTTGTTCTGTTTCACTGATATTACAGAAAACCATCTGTTGTCATAAAGCACTCTGGGTTGGATGAATCTGGGGACTCAAATGAAAGTGAGGACTTGGATTTACCAGTCAGTGCAAATGGTCACCTTGATGTCACTAGATTGCCAAAAGGTACGTTTTAACTATTTCCTACTTTAATTCCCCGTATTCACTCTGCCTCATAACGTTTCCTGTGCAAGTGATGTCAATTTGTGACTGGTGTCCAGTGTGTGTTTCAGTACAGTTTTACATACAAATTTGTATTTCTGTGGACATTTGGGGGGTTAATTGTTGTCCTTTCTGAGTTTTTAAGTACCTGTATGTGTTTCTGGTCTTGCTGTGTACAAGCTGTATATTGTATTTATTGGGGGTATGTTTTGTTTACACAGGCACTGTACTGGTGAGGCCCGAACCTGTAGATAATGGAAGAGATGACTTCAGGGGTCCAGAGTTTCGCAGCCGCAAAACAGGCGTACTGCGGAAAGAGTTTTCAAGAAGACGTGGGGGTCAGTAACTACTGATGGATATTGTTATTGCACATCACTTCATTGCTTAGGCAGCCATTTCTCCAGAATAATAGAACTTAAAAGTGGTCACATTGATTCATTTAGCAACAAATTAAACAAAAAGAAGGCACTTTGGTTACTGTTTGTTTATTGTTTGTGGACAAAAGACAGACTGAAAAAACACTTTAGTGGACAAAGAGAGCTAAAAATTCATTTTAGTTTGTGTCTAAATGCAGCTTGATCATTATTTTGTTGTGAGAAAGATCACTGATAATTGACTTTGAGAAAAAGCTGCTCCCAGTGCTTCACTTACCCTCCGCACTGCTTACGGCAAGTTTTTGTATCCTAACCTGTGGTGTTGCTCATGGACATCTTGCCTGGAGAATGTGATAGATTAAAGAAGAGATTGAACAGCCTCACACCTTTTTTGAGCAGTACATCAAATAATAGTTGTAACAATTGTGTTGCTAATGACAGTGGTGTGCTTTCATAGGAGTTGAACACATGGAAATTGTCAGTTGCACCGCATGTGGACGCCAAGTTAACCACTTCCAGAGAGATTCCTTCTATCGGCATCCAGTTCTCAAAGTACTTATTTGCAAGGTGAGTCTGCTTATTTACCCGAAACAATCATTCAGAGGGATATTCTGATTAATTTTACTATTTTCTGTGTATTCATGTTGATGAGTACTGATATGAACCATGTGTTAAAGTGCAGACCGGCTGGCTTCTGTTTACAGAAATCTGCAACATACAGCTGCTGAATAAGATGTTGTAAATTAAAACCAGTTAACAAGAACCTTATCTAAAATTCTGTCTAAATTCTTTAGAAATCATTGTGATCCCTCAGCCCCCTAGGATTTGTATGTGCAGTTTATGTTTCAGTTTTAAGTAGGGCTCTGAAGGGGTTGATGAGAGGGATACAAAGCAACACCTGTGTGTCTCTCTCTCTTCACTGCTCTGCACACACACCTGCTTGCCCCACTCCATTTCTTTCTGTTTGTTTCTCCCAGTATGGAACAACAGTGTGGTCCAAAAAGGAGGTGTAATGAGCAGGCTCGTTGTCGATGACGTTGCCTGTCGAAACGTGGTA